CACTGAAAAATAATAATGTTTATACAGGACAAAAATATGTATCATAAAGGCAGGTGTCAAGAAGATAGTAACTATTATGAGTGGTAAAATTTCGGTTGAGAACATATCTTTCTGGAAAAGAACTATTTCATTTCTTCTCGGAATGTTTACCATTCGTCTTTACATGTAACTCTGATTGATTTGAGAACAGAAGGCTGAAAACAAATTGTGCGGGAGGTCGAGGGTTCGAGCCCCGGCCGGACCAACGCTCAAAAAGACTGAGGAGAATGTGCTACCTTTCTATAATGTCAAGAAATGGATAGAAATTCTAGTCTTCTCGGGTAAGGACGACTGGCCTTGTCATTGTTAACGCGGGATCCACTGTAATTGACTAAAGTTGTAGTGGTCTCCCTGCCTGAGATAATTAGGCGAAGCTAAATAAAAATAATTAGAATACCGGAATACCAGAAGTATCTTTCTCACAAGAACACTGACACAAAAGAGTTACCTTAAGTCACCACTTACGTGAGTTACAAGCCCTCAGAAGTCTGTAATAATAGAGCAGTTAACCTAAAAAGCTATATGTAACAATTCACTGTAAAAATGTGGTTACCCTCTTTTTCCCACGCACAGTGTACTGGACCCAGTACGAGCCGGCCAAGCTGTAAGATAGTGAGTAGCTTGTTACCCATTGAGATGCGTCCTGCCTTCCTTGGGTGGCTACTTTAGTAATGGTCGTGGGAGTGCCAAGATCAATCTGTAGCCATTGATTGACGTTATTCCTATTAGCACACCACGATCCCGCTTTACCTGAACCAGCCGCAAGATTCAAACGGCCTAAACTAGCAGCGCAGCTACCGCCGTTATAAGTCGAGGCAGACATAGCACTGGCTGAAACTCGGCCATCTTCGAGTCCGAGAGAAAGGGAACAATGTGATCCTTAAAAAAAGGAAAATTGACTGTTTGCCATGTTACTTCGTTTCTTAACTTCAACTGCATGCTAAGGTGGTTAAAACTGCACTATGCGAAAATACAATTTGTGGCCACGGAATGAACAACTCCACGTCGTGTAGAAACAAAACAATTCACTTTAACTCCTCAACGATTTGAGGTGGATTGAAACTTAGATTGCAAACAATTGAAAAAGTTACACAATATATGATATAAAGAAACAACAAGCAACACGACAGAAGGAGAACTATAAAACACTTACATTGTTACGGCCACAGAAAAGACCAAAATTGATACTGCAAAATGCTAACGCCAGAAAACGGGAAAAGGAAAAAGACAAGCGAAAACGGCGGTACGTTATTGAACTGCTCTTAGCGCTAAAAGAGAGAAGACAGGCATATTACTGATGTATATATATATATATATATATATATATATATATATATATATATATGTATGTATGTATACATATATATATATATATATGTATGTATACATATATATGCATGTATGTGTGTATGTATGTATGTATGTATATATGGTACTTACACCTTCTTCCTAGCATCAGCACTGCACTGACGAGGCCCAGAAGGCCCAAACAGTACTGTCGGCAGTTATATATATATATATATATATATATATATCGATACATAATTATGCGAGGTAGCAATAGAGCGGCAATAAGGTAGCAATAAAAATGTCGAAAGGAAAAAGGTGCTTATGAAATAATAAGTGTAAACGTTGGCTAGTTACGGGGTGAAAAGACTTAAATAATAATCTTTGAACACAAACATGAAAAAATGTCGCACTTAGAACTTTCAGCGGATATTACATTTTCGGCTTACCCGACGTTGGGTCTATTCAAGTCAAGCATTTATTCGGGGCGGCGTTTCTTTCAAAATCATGTCTCTTAACTATATGTCGGCAAAAAATATAGATGCTTTGTACATATTTTGTACATCAGAAACTGGTTTCCATCTTCAATGTGGTGTTGTATGATTTAAATTGTCAAGTGTATTTAGTTAATTCTTAATCCTAGAGTAAACTCCGCATTCTTATGACTCGGTGCGGCGTTTAATCGAAGACGGCGTTAAATCCAATAAAGACGCTATTGCTTCAGATGGTGATGGAAAAAAACAAACTCAGCTTTAGGGTGTTCTTATATTGTAACACGAAATTCTTTTAACTTTTACATAGAGAGAGCAAAGGCATAGTTGCTAGGAGGGAAAACTGTTAATCAGGTGCGAGGAGTAATTGAGATCATTTGCTGCTATTGACAAGTTGCCTGCTGATTGCAAATTATTTTTTAATGTGAGACACATTCAAAGATCAATGAAAATAATTTAATATGCTATACGGAAGATTTAGCGACAAGTATTTGAAAACATATCTTTGCATGATATCATAAATCTTTCGTAGGTCGATATCAGTCTGATTTCTTCCATTTTACAGTAAAAAAATCTTAGCTTTAATGGTGTATTTTTCTAATTAAAATTACCTTCCTGGCAGCCATGAATCTCTGCTCTAGTACAGATGTGACCATACCATGTCCTGGGGTGGAATCGAAGATATTTGGCTTGAATTGGCAAATGGAGGGGAAGATAAACTGGAGTGTTGCGGTCGATGTTACCACCAAACACCTGTCATGTATGATAATACGTAAACTAGTAAATATCAGTTCCCGTCTTTCTTAAAAACAAAAAACAAACAAACAAAACCGTTTTATTTATTTTTAGTATTCTATAACTTTCTCTCGGCGCAAACACGGATTTGGTTTTAAGGCTACCATGTTCACGATGGGTGCCAGACCTCAATAATTTTCATAGAATTACTATTACTGCAAATAAAGTTTGTCCGTGAAACCTATTTCTCTTACCCTGATATGTCCATCCGAGAGTCTGTACCAGGCCCAGTGAGAGCCATCCACGCTGTACGACAAACTGTAACTCGTTATCCAATTATTGCTGTCATACCTTCCCTGAGTGGCTACTTTAGTTACGGTTGTTTCCCGCCCAAAGTTGACCTGCAGCCATTCGTTACCATTGTTTGTACGTGTGCACCAGGCCCCCGCCTTGCCTGAGCTGGGGATCTTATTGAGTCTCGAGAACTGCGGGATGTATCTTGAGTCATAATACGTCGATGCTGATATTGCGCTGTCGGGAAGATGGCCACTCTCCATACCAAGAGGAAGAAAGCAACTGCGATCTGTTTAATCACATAAATCAGTATTTCAAAAAATTCGAACACATCAAATGCAGAACCCTAAGCAATTTTATGAAATCCTCGAGCTAATCCACACGGCGAAAGCTAAAACAAATACATGCTTTTTTTCCACTCAAACGATTTACCTTGAAGGCAATACTCTTAGCGAAATTAGGCAAGTATTTGAATAGCAATATAAATCTAGAAGAGGTATACGCCACACTTGATCTCTACCTCCAGTCAATCAAAGCTATCGTTTACATTACAAGAATTTCTTAATCTATTTCCTTCATTATAAACAGGGCTCAAACCTTGCAGGAGTTGTTTGGCATATTGACCTTATGTTTTCGGATCAAATTTCCACAGAAATGCAAAAAAAGTTCTATAAACTTCTGCATTATGCAGTAGATCCGTTTTCGAGTTTCCTTTGCAGGCTTCAAAAGAACAAAATAAGTTTATTCAAATTACTAGATGATCCATAGACTGTTGTTAAGCCCTTTTGATTTCTCTTCTAACCCATCAAAGTCACAAAAAGAACAAGTGAAGAGGTGATCCTCGCCCGCAGAGGAGCTGGGAGGATCGTTCATTTCACTTTAATTTCATTCCTAGATCTATGTCTAATTTATTTCTTTATAACTGATTATAAAAGTCGCAAAATAGCCGGTAGGAGATGAACATGGGCTTCCCTGTCCGAATATCTATTACTTTGGATCTCATTCTTGTTACCACACGAGAAAAGGTTGCATCGTGGAAAATTTTTTTGTTCATTTATTCACGATTTTTTGGGAGTCAATAACATCGAAGATCTTTTCTGCGTTAATTTTAACGCAAAAAAAAAATTCTTTGCATGCCATAATAGCTTATAAAAACTACTCCAACACTCGGAAAGGGAACTTTTCTTTAGCACCTCATCATTTACAAGGCAGGAAATTGACTTGTCAACTTAAAATAAAATGATGCCTAAAATCACTTACTTACCTTCTTTGCAACCATAAATCTCCACTCGCATAGAGATGTGGCTTTGCCAACCTTTCGGGTGGAAACGAACGCTTCTGAAGACGATGATAAGACGTATAGGACGTAATGTATAGGAAGCGCAAATTTCCTACACAGATTGAGATTTCGAGACAACGTCTTCTGGCATTAAAAGCGAGATGAAGCTAAGCCCACTACCACAATTTACTTAAAGTTGAGAAGTGGAAGTAAACAGAAGATTAAGTTCAACTGTTCTTCAGAGAAATTCAGTTCGTTGAATCACCCACCTCCATCCTTCAAATAGATTTGGTGCCTCCACTCCCCTTTTCAGCGATATAAACAATTAAACTGCGGACTCTTGCACTCAGGACTACGTCGGTAAGGTCTTAAAACCGATAGCACGGAGAGAAATTTTCAAGTAGAATGAAAGTGAGAGTAGCGTACATATTTTTCACACAAAGAGGACAAGGGAGCTCTCTCGTAATTCCGCCCTCCCAAGGGATAGTCAACAATTATGATCTGTCACTTCTCTTCCAAGTTTTTAGAGTTTGTTAAGTTTGTGGTTTCGAAGAACACATTTCAATTGAATAAAATATTTCACATCTTCAGGCATGTGTGTCCTTCCATACACTTCCATTTAGATTTTTTATGTGTGGAGTCTTAAGACAATAAGTTTCTTCAAAAAAGCGCGCGATTTATTTTAAAGGTTAAGACACGATCCAAACAAATCACTTATTTTGAAATCGGAATTAGAGTTGCTTTTATGGCAGTAGCCACACCATAATATAAAAAGACGCGTATTAATAACGATTTGAGGATACAGTGATTATATAGAGATATAGACTATATAGACATGCCCTGAGGATAGATCTTGGTTTTGAAAAGCTCTTTATTCTCTGACAAAAATAACCTTTACATCTCCTTCATGGGTTTTTACTGGCCGAGTCGATACTCTTTCGGCGACTTTCCTCGTTGAGCTTTCTTCCCCTTAGATGCCCTTAAAAAGGAATTTTCATTGTTAATATATTTAATGTTTATGATATCTTGAACTAACATAACTCATAAGAAAAGTTCTGGAAATTGTAATGGTGTATCATTCTTGAATTATGCCTTGGTATTATGTAAAAGTAATGCGAACGATAGATAATCGACGATTATTGCGAAAATCGCGAGTATTATCATTGTTACGTTCTAGCATTATTATTGTTTTTCATTCGTACGCACTGGGCGGTATATCGTTTCCCATCGAGATATCGCTGCGAAATCGAGGTATCTTGGAAAATGTGTTGCTTAAACCTTAGGTCTACTGATTAAGTTTGCAACCGACACATGAATTTGGTAATAAGCAGGCTTTCTTTACCGCTCTATCTCGGTGCTGTTTGCCTGTCTACACTCATCAGACTCCCATCAAGCCTGCATAGAAATCTAATATAGGGCAAAATCTTGGTAGATTAAAACGCTACATGCATTTCTTGTCTGTTTTGCTTTATATATCACAGTGATAACAAAGTAAATTATGTTCCCCCTTACCCTGATAGGACAACCGTACAACTCAGTACGCATGCTGATGTGGCCTTGCCAAGTTAAAGGATGAATGCGGACGAACCGGGCATGGATTGGTGGGAAGGTCTGGTGGACAACAATGGTATTACGATCGAAATTTCCCCGAAAAACCTGAAGAAAATTAAGAATTTCAATTCAAAGTACCATATTCATGTAAGAGACCACTGAAAACTAACCTACAATAATTGTGTTTATTACAGGAAATAAATATGCATCATCAAGTCAGGTGTCAAGAAGATAGTAACCATTCTGAGTGGTGAAATTTCGGTTGCTTTCATACCATTCGTGAGAGCAGTATCTATCTGAAAGAGAACTCTTTCATTTATTCTCAAAGTATTACCATTCGTCTTTACTAGAAACTCTGATTGATTTGAGAGGAGAAGGCTGAAAACAAAGCCTACTCTACAAATGATGATTAAGAATTTGAAGAAGAACCTCTTTGCTACATTTTAAAACTTGCAAGCTCGAAGATACCGGAATACCAGAAGTGTCTTTCTCACAGGAATACTGATACCAATATATTACCTAAAGCCAACTTTACGTGAGGTACAAGCCCTGGGAAATCTGTAATAGACCAGCGGTTATTCCAAAAAGCTACATGTAACAATTCACTGTCACTGAGTAAAAAGTAAGTTACCTTCTTTTTCCCTCGCACAGTGTACTGAACCCAGTAAGAGCCGGTCAAGCTGTAAGATAGTGAGTAGCTCGTTACCCATTGAGATGAGTCCTGCCTTCCTTGGGTGGCTACTTTAGTAACGGTCGTAGGGCTGCCAAGATCAATTTGTAACCATTGATTGACGTCTTTCCTTTTAGCACACCAGGATCCCACTTTACCTGAACCAGCCGCAAGATTCAAACGGCCTAAACTAGCAGCGCAGGAACTGCTGTAAATAGTCGAGGCAGACATAGCACTGGCTGAAACTCGGCCATCTTCGAGTCCGAGAGAAAGGGAACAATGTGATCCTTAAAAAAAAAAAAAAAGGAATTGACTGTTTGCCCTGTTGCTTCGTTTCTTAATTTCAAATGCTTGTTAAGGTAGTTGTTACATGTTCGGCTTACCCAACGCTGGGTCTATTCAAGACAAGAATTTATTCATGGCAGCGGTTTTTTGTTCTTAACAATATGTCAGCAAAAACTATAAATCCTTTGTACATATTTTGCACATCAGAAACTAGTTTCCGTTTTCAATGCCCAGATTTTCGACACACATTTCTTATGTTTTAAATTATCAAGTGCATTGATTTAACTCTTAGTCCTAGAGTAAACTCCGCATTCTTATTACTCGACGCGGCGTTTTATCGAAGACGGCGTTAAATCCGATAAAGACGCTATTGCTTTAGATGGTGATGGAAAAACACAAACTCAGCTTTAGGGTGTTCTTTTAATGGAACACGAAATGCTTTTACCTTTTCCACAGAAAGAGGAAAGGCATAGTTGCTGGGAGGGAGAACTGTTAATCAGGTGCAAGGAGTAATTGAGTTCATTTACTGCTATTGACAAGTTACCTGCTGATTGCAAATTAGATGGAGAAGATCCATGTTGTGAGACACATATTTAAAAGTCAATGAAAATCATTTAATATGTTCTACGAAAGATTTAAAGACAGGTCTGAAAACATATCTTTGCTCGATACAATAGATCTTTCGTATTTCGATATCAGTCTGATTTCTTCCATTTTACAGTAAAAAAAGTCTTAGCTTAATTATTTTTTTACAGTCAAAATTACCTTCTTGGCAGCCATAGACCTCTGCTCTGGTACAGATGTGACCATACCATGACTTGGGGTGGAATCGAAGATATTTGGCTTGAATCGGCAAATGAAGGGGATGATAAACTGGAGTGTTGCGGTCGATGTTACCACCAAACACCTGTCATGTATGATAACATATAAACTAGTAAATATCAGTTCCCGTCTTTCTTACAAACAAACAGGCAAACAAAAGAAACCGTTTTACTTATTTTCGGTTTTCTATAACTTTCTCTCGGCGCAAACACGGATTTGGTTTTTAAGGCTGCCATGTTCACAATGGATGACAGTCCTCGATAATTTTCATAGACTTACAATTACTGCATATAAACTTTGTCCGTTAAACCAATTTCTCTTACCTTGATATCTCCATCCGAAAGTCTGTACCACGCCCAGTGAGAGCCGTCCACACTATACGACAAACTGTAGCTCGTCAACCTGTGATCGGCGTCATACCTCCCCTGAGTAGCCACTTTTGTAACAGATGTTTCCCGCTCAAAGTTGACCTGCAGCCATTCGTTACCATTGTTTGTACGTGTGCACCAGGCCCCCGCCTTGCCTGAACTGGGGATCTTATTAAGTCTCGAGAACTGCGGGATGTGTCTAGAGTCATAATACGTCGATGCCGATATTGCGTTGTCGAGAAGATGGCCACTCTCCATACCAAGAGGAAGGAAGCAACTGCGATCTATTTAATCATATCAATCAGTATTTTAAAAACATTCCAACACATCAAATGCAGGATTTTATGATTTTATGAAATCGTCGAGCTAATCCAAACGGCGAAAGCTAAAACAAATACATGCTTTCTTTTACTCAAACGATTTACCTTGAAGGCAATACTCTCAGCAAAATTAGGCAAGTATTTGAATAGCAATATAAATCTAGAAGAGGCATACACCACACTTGATCTCTACCTCCAATATATCAAAGCTATCGTTTGCATTATAAGAGTTTCTTAATCTTTCCTTTATTTTAATCCGGGCTCAAACCTTGCAGGAGTTGTTTGGCATATTGACCCTATATCATCGGATCAAACTTCCACAGTAGTGCAAAAAAATCTATAGAATTCTGCAGTATGTAGTCATGTATACTATGGTAAGATCCGTTTTCGAATTTCCTTTTCAGGCTTTAAAAGAACAAAATAAGTTTATTCAAATTACTAAATGATTTATACAGTAATGATCAGAGTATTTAAGTATAATGCTGCGAAATTCTAGGCTGTTGTTAAGCCCTATTAATTACTCTTCTAACCCACCAAAGTCACAAAAAGAACGAGTGAAGAAGTGATCCTCGCACGCAGATTCATTTCACTTTAATTTCTCTCCTAGATCTATGTCTAATTTATTTCTTTACAACTGATTGTAAAAGTCGCAAAATAGCTGACAGGAGATGAACATGGGCTTCCCGTCCGAACATCTCTTATTTTGGATCTCACTTTTGTTACCACACGAGAAAAGGTCGCATCGTGGACAATTTTTTTAGTTAATTTATTCATGATTTGTTGGTAGTCGATGAAATCGAAAATCTTTCTGCGTTAATTTTAACGCAAACAAATTATCCCTTGCGTGCCATAACAGCTTATAAAAACTACCACAACACTCAGAAAGGGAACTTTTCTCTAGCACCTGATCATTTTCGAGGCAGGAAATTGATTTGTCAACTTGAAATAAAATGATGCCTAAAATCACTTACTTACCTTCTTTGCAACCATAAATCTCCACTCGCATGGAGATGTGGCTTTGCCAACCTTTCGGATGGAAACGAACGCTTCTGGCAAACACTCTGATATGCGGGCTGAAGACATGTTTGACAACTGTTGTCCTGTCGCTGTTTGCCAGGAATGTCTACAAATAAAGGTGATAAGTTTGATAACGTAGTCATTCCGAGCAGGCGGCACTCGATCTAAGTTCATGACACGATTATGAAAACAAAACTGGTTTATAATCCAGTTAACTGCAGGAAAAAAACGAACACATTATTTACTGGTCTAAGTCGGGCTAAAATCGTGCTTTAGTTCTGAAGTCCTCAGGCTATAATCGTAACCTCGGGTAAGGTTTTCCTTATGTAGACCTTCCGCTTAATAATAAACAAACACTTCGCATGGCCGTGCACACATAGCATGAGGCGTGCAGTTGCATTATTGCCACGAAGTCTCTGTCGATTTTAACTACGAGGTATCATTGGTCTACTTCCCGACGGGCAATTTTTCCCGATGTGTATCTTTGGGTTTCTTTTATTTTAAGAGTTCAATACATGTTTTAATTGTATGCATCGTCAAATTTAGCTTGAAGAGTGGCTATATTTTGAGCTATTTAAGAGATGTTGTGATGTTGAAGATTTACTTTTTAACGAAAATATATTGTACAAAAAAAATATCAATAATGATAACGATAATAATGATAATAATAATTTAGTGTAAGAATTAAGCAAAAAAGTCTAAGTGTGAACAAAATCAAGCAGTGACACATAATTGAGCACATAATCTAAATTTCTAAATATGAGGGTCCAACGGAAGCCAATGTTAACACAACTTGACGTGGAAGGGTTAATTGAATATTAGAGTAAAATTAAAAAGGAAATACAAGACCAAATTAGAAGACCTAATTATCTGTTTTTTCTGATTACCTTCACTTGGCTGTTTTCCTTGATAAAAACCCACATAAAGTCATCTGCAGTGTAGGACAATGAGAAGCTTGTCACCCACTGATTGGAATCGTGTCGACCCTGAGTGGCCACGCCTCGTACGTTGAACAGACGTCCAAGATTTACCTAAAAGATGCAGAAGCATTTCCATCAAAAACGCTTCCTTATCACTGACTCCGAAAATCTGAGCCGATATCGTGTATGGAGTAGTATTAAAGTCTACGCCATGCGAATCCCATGTTGAAATACCACGAAGCATGGTACAGGTACGCTCGTATGTTACTTTTTTTAATTCAACTCTTATGTAACTGATGTGTGTAATTCTATATCGTTCTGAAAGCAATTTGTACATGTAATTGCATGATTTCGAGTGCAATTTAGGATAAATCAGCACAAGTAAATTTTTTAAAGGCTAACCAAATTTCCCAAACCCGTACTGCGAGTGCAATTTAGAGTCTTTGATAAATTTATTCCCTGCATTTCGAGAATAACTGAGCGTTTGTATTCTTTCTCTGTTAGGTATATATCGGTCGGCAGAAGCAACTTAACTGTCAATTAATTTAATTACAACTTTCTGCATTCAACTTCAACTTTCTGCACAGTTTGGAATTAATTGACGTGTTCTCAGCCAATGAGCATGCTGAATTTTTTGCATGTATGTTATTATAAAGGAAATCACGAGAGAGAACTCTGATTTCTAAGAAATTATGGATTGTTCACTTTCTTTAGAGCGGACATAAGGAAGTTTGGCCCCACTGGGAAATTCTATTGGAACGACTTCCCTCTTCACATTCTTAAACTTTCTTCCAAAATTTTTTGAAAACGCACTGTATAAATATTATTTTGCTCAGTATTAACCATCTTACTTGATTTTATTCATCATAAATTATATGCGTACGTTGTGTGCGTGCATATGTGTTGTTATTGTTGTTGTTGTTTTTTTTTTGCTTTGTGCGATTATTATTCATAATAAACCAATGAGCTTCATTAATTGCACTTCTCAATCCTACTTTATTTTGTACTGTATTTTCTTCTTTTTGTCTTGTGCGTTTTTTAATGACCCTCTATAATACCTGTAATTACTAGAAACCTTTTATAATGTGGATGGAGAGAAATGATGCAAGCGAAAAAGAAAAACCAGTGACAGCTCAATGTATGAATTAGGAGAAAGAAACTTCGTATGTTGCTTCTCCTATTTATGTTATTAACATGGTGACGTTCTTTTACATGAAATTTTATTTCATCTCCATCGCTGATCAACGTAGGCTCAGTGAGCCTACGTTGATCAGCTACCAAAGTCAACTGCTTTTCAGCTCAGACTCGGGTTGAAAACCAAGCTCAAGCTCAACTTTCATCGTCTGTATGATTTCAGTACCTCATCATTTAACTTCCACAGTTCATGTTATTTATTTTATATCTATCAATTCATGAAAATTTTTGTAGAGTATCATGACTTTTCACATACCTGTAGCCACTGATTAGCATTATTCTGTCCAGCTGCCCAACAATACTTCCCTCCACTTGGTGGTAAGTTAAGTCTACCTCTGTTTGGAAGGTATTTACCACTGGCTGAAGATGAAGCTGTAAATGCTTCATCAGGAATTCTTCCGTCTTCCACTCCCACAGCCATAAAACAGTTCTTAACTGTGAAAAGCGAATAACACTATAAGAAGCAAGTGTACTAAACCATTTGAAGAAAGTTAACAAAAACTAAAGAAATAGTTATGCAATAAACTGATTTGCCGCAGGAACGGAGAGAAGTAATTTCCAGAAGTCGCAATAGATCCTTTGGTAGCTCAATCCACTCAAGCCTTGGTATGTGCACTTTGCACGCGTAGCTGACCAAAGCTGACCAAGCTGAACGGAACAAGGTGATCATTAGGCGACGAAGTTTTGCGTTAAGCCAAATTCATTAAAGTTTCATTGCTTTGCTTCCATTTAAGTCGATCACTAAGCCACACACAACATTCCTTAAAACTCAGGTGTCGAGAAGCCCTTATTTGAAAAGTGTCAGCAGTTGACAAAGTAGATGACTCTTTAGACCAAGACGAGTCGAATTGTAGCCGGAATATGACCAGTTTAATCAAATGTGTTGTTTTGGCATATCCACTGAACTCACCTTTACGACACCCATACAACTCAACTCTTAGGCAAGGTACGTTATGATTGTGTGCCCTTGGATGAAACCGGATGCAGCGAGCCTCGATGTGAGGTTTTAGGGAGTGTATGATGGCAGTGTTTCTGTCCGTATTTCCTGCGAACACCTGAGGTAACAAGAAAATAACATTGAACTCACTCGAGTTAAAAAAAATGTCATGTTTATGGTAAGTACACAATTGACTTATTAGCCGTTTTCGACTGCATTAAACAACTCATAGCCCTGTAATGTCGTTTTCGGCTACATTGGTTGCAATGACGTTCCACAAATTATTGCTCTTTCCTCATCACTGATTTGGTTGGTGAATGTCTCGCACTTCAATTAACACAAATAAAGTTAATATTGATTCGCAAAGCCCTCGTATTTCAATAATAGTAATAATTAGAGGCGTTCCATCTCTTGCTGAGTCAGTCGAGCTTACTTTCTCCACAGCACGTTGTTTGTAACTCGTCCAATGTAGTCCGTCCACACTGTATGAAAGAGTGAATGTTCTAGTTCTGTCTTCACTGTTATATCGGCCTTGAGTTGCCACTTTGGTCACTGCGGTAATTTCTCCCAAGTCTATTTGAAGCCATTGGTTGCGGCTCTTTAGCTTGGGGCACCAGGCTCCCACGTGCTTGCCATCCGATAAGAGGTTCAGTCTCGCAAGTGAGGGCCGGTGACGATTGTCATAGCTACCTGACGCAGTAAATGCACTGTCAGGAATCCGTTCATCCTCCACACCCAGTGGTACGGAGCAGCTGTGAACTAAGAATATTAATTAATAAGGCGTTTGTAGCTTGCCTGTGATAAAAATACAATAAAACATCAGTAATGAATAAGTAATAACTATTTGAAAGGGCCACTTGATCCTCAGTTGAAATACTACCACCCCTTCAAATAAAGTTGTATCATATTCATTAATACTATAATTATTATTAGTATTATTCCAATGTTGAACGACTGGGTAAAATACATAGTCTAAAATTTTATAAAAATTAAAAAAATGTAAATGCAAGTTTCTAAAACCAACTCACCGAAACGCTCCTGATATAACATTGGATAAAAAGGGAAGCGGAACTAAATCAAACCGACTCCTGCAGCATTAACATTTAATCTTAAATCATCTTAAACTTCAACGAACTTTTTATCGTTTGTCTCACGATGCAAATGTCAGGCTAATAAATCGTGTGTTGATCGTGACGTTTGGACCGCCATATTGCTACTCTTCGTTAGGGGACGAGATCGAAAGTTTGCGAATGAAGTCTTAAGGTGGGAAAACACAAGGGGTCAAGTTGCAGGAACATCTTGCAGCGACAAAACTTGTGTAGTACACGCTCAGGCAACATGTTGCAGGGACGTGTAGCGGGAACATGTAGCAGTGACAAACTCACAACATTTCACACACATAAAAATGATGCGTGTACGTGTCCCAGTAATGTGTTGTAGCGGCATGTCCCTTCGTGTGAACTGATACTTTTATAATTGTGCAACACCAATTTGGGGGATATTTTGTCCCCGCGACATGTCGCAAAACGTTGCAAGGATGCCATGAATCATAAGACTTGTTGCTGGTTTTAATACTCTCTCGTAACTCAATTTGTAACAACAAGACAATAAGGAGTACATCTGTAGTTTTTTTAGGCCAACTAAAACGTCTGAAACGAGAACCCACAAGTTTTAAAAATTTTCAACACCCACCCTTCCTACAGCCATAAACCTCTGCTCGCATAGATGTGTATCCACGGTAGGTCTTTGGGTGAAATCGGATAAGGCGAGCATCAAATGGCGAGAGAAGAAGATGCTCCACAACTGTATTTCTGTCCTTGTTAGCTGGAAATACCTGGGAAATCCAAAAGATTCTCAAACTTTCACTCAGCCCTTTCGCGGAAATAAAGTATGAGAAAAAAATCATTTCTATTACTTTGGCTGTGGGTATACTCTGTATCTTATGTCTGTAAAATGTAAACAGTTTCAGACGGTCAAACTCTAATTATTTTGATTCATTGACCCATACTTTAATCACGTTTCATATTGGTACAGGAGTTATTTTATCGATTGACAGATTTTACATTTCGACGAAAATTTCTAGCTTGGAGAGGATGCAACTGGAATCACAAAGCGTCTGTATAATGTGCGATAAATTTGAGCAGTGGATCAAAGTAAAGGCTAGATGCACTCGTAACTACGTTTAACTAAAACTACTTAGAACCCATCCTTTTTTAAATTTTTTTTAAAGCAAAACCCTGGCAGTTCTTTGGGCTGCTCAACCATGAGAAAAAGCAGCCAAAACTTCTGTCGTATCAACCGGTAAATCTACGTGAACTATTTTTAACGAGATTTTAACTTACCCATGTGACACTCTTTTCTTTATACTCGGCCCAGTGCATCCCATCTACACTATAGGACAGAGTGTACTTCGTTACCCACTGGCCTGAGTCTTGACGCCCCTGCGTTGCCACCTTGGTCACTCGCACCAGTTCCCCGAAGTCTATCTGAAGCCACTGTTTGCCATTATTAGCACCCGCTGACCAGGCTCCGTACCCTTTACTGTTTGACTGTATGTTCAATCTGGAACGTGCTGGACCATGTTTGCTGTTTGCACTTGAAGAAGCAGAAAATGCGGCGTCTGGTACATGACCGTTTTCCAAACCAAGAGGAAGAGAACAGCGGTAAACTGAAAACAAAAACAAAAAGCAAAGAATCAGAGAAAGACAATAAACAATGTAAATGAAAAGGATTGCTTTGCTTTTAACAGAAAAATGATATACAACACTACATGTGCACCTGCACGCTTTTGTGCATGTTAGCGACTTAATCAGCATAAAAAGTAAGTTGCTTCAAAATTTTTTGGCTAAGCAATGCTCTTATGCTCTGTATCTCAAATGAACAATGCATTCTAGCAAGATGTCTTGGTAAAGAGCCATGAGAAACTAATCTGAAGATTCTAAACCCACGAAAAGGGTGAGGTTAGACAATTGCGCGTGTAATTTATGTCGAGTGACCTAAATCTGTTTTATCCTTGCTTGCTTCTTACCCATCAAAGGGTTTGAATAAACACTTCTCTTCTGGAGAGACAGCTTTCCTTGTTCGTGTTTTTCATCCGTAGAATATACCTGCGAGGTGAAAGACGTAGATTTTAGTCATTAAAATGAAGACAAGTCTGAAGGTTTCGATTTATATTAGCCAGCTAATTAGCTGTTAAATGTCGAGAAATACGAAACTGTGAAGGGCTCTGCTGTCCAGTCTACTCGGGGACGCCATAAGTTGGAGAAAGAATACAAATGTCACCCCTAAAACAAACCAGCACTTTCAGATCACCAGTTTTGAAATTGAGTTTTGATGATAAAGGCTCCATATTGCCGTACAAATTATAATTAACAATATCTTCATTCTTTTTTTCTTCTTTTTTTCCTTCGATGGTTTTAAAAACCATTTGATTCTAGGTGCTAAAGATCTGATTGATTCATTTTTATTCGATGTTTTGAAACTTTGAGAATTTCTATTTTTGAATAAAGAGGAAAATGTTAAAAAGATTTTTTATGAATATATATAGGTTACATAACATACTTATATAGAATGGGAATATTAAAATATCTCGACATAGATATTTAACAAAAACAATGATACTAACAATAATAGTTATAGCAACATAACAGGAAACGTGAAAAAAAAATTAATGAGTGAAGTTAAATAGGATTTCAAAAGGTAATTATGATAAAAAAAAACCAAATATTTCAAAATGAGAACAGCTATGAAATAGATTACCATGGTTTGAAGATAAAATGTTTTATATTAGATGAAATCAGAAGTTTTGCAAATGAACATTATGAATTCCAATGACTTTTCAATCATATTTTATTGTTACAGAGCACAGTCTTTTGAAAGAATTGTTACTGATTCATAATTTATATATAATCTTTCGAGAATAAACTTCTATGATCACAGAAATGAACAGAAAACTAAAAGGAAAAACATTTAATGAAAAGTTTTTATGAAAAGAAACGATGGCAAAAATTTTTAATGAAAACATTTCATGAAATGATCTATGAATATATTCTTTCTTGCCAAACTTACTTTTCAAAATTCAATAAGTAAGTTAGTTTCTCAAAATTCAATAAATGGGCTCATTTTTCAAAATCCAATTTATTACTTAATTTTAAGGAGTCAAAGATATTGAAAAAAGTGCTCGTAGCCCAGTTCCTATGCTTCTACCACAGTACAGAGTAAACAATCATCAATCAAAAATAGATCGAAACAAGCAAACTATTCGAAAGTAAACCAACAAGTTTGCCCAGTGTTTATGATTTTTAATGATCTTGGTAAAATGAAAAGATTTGCCAATAGTTAAAAGAAGCGACACAGTTGCAACTTTAATTCTGAGTGAAATTTGATCCAATGAGTGTAAAGTTCGCAGAAGAAAATAAAATTTTGGTCACGTTTCTTATTTAGGTTAATGGTTAATTAAATGATGGTTTGATGAAATGGAAAATTTCGAAATGAATGAATCAAAGATTATGTAAGGAAAGTTCACCATAAAGACAAAGGAGAGAAATAACTAATAACAAAAGTTGAACATGAAAAAGACTCACGCCTTGTTCATGCGAAGCATTGTGAAACAATTCTTTCATACCGTTTTGTTTCAAGACGAAGAATTGGTCGATGCGAAATTATCAACCTCTGATTATTGTCGCAGAGTATCTTGTCACGGCATGTCACACCACATTGCATCTCATATACTCTTGTCACGTTATATGTCTCACTCTCACATCATACTCTTGTCACGTTATATGTATCACATCAAGACGAGAAATACTACGTTACTTCCTCAACCCCCCCCCCCCCAAGTCCGCTGGATTGAGCCTTACTGCCAATTTGTTCATTGTCACACCTCCCCCGCTCGGTTCTAATGTCCACGTGTACATATTTTTGCGTGCGTCATTAGTTGGAGGAAACAATTTTAGATTGCCATTCTGAGTTAATTCGTCACCGCATGTTACTTGTAAGCCAAAATTACGAATCATTCAAATACGGAATGCAAAACATGAAAAAGTAACTAAACCGAGAATTGAAGGGAAAAAGCAATCCTCGTCTAAATAACGTATTCTTAATTTTGATGAACTTTCTGGAGGCATACAGGTTTTTTTGCGGCTATTTTGGGCGACAACGCTTTTCATAAGACATCGAATAAATTGTTCAAATTCTCTTAGTTTGTGGATCGAATCGAATAACATTTCAACGGTTACGTCAAAAAAATCTAAAATGAAGCGATCGGGAACATAAAAAAGGTTAGTCAAATAAAAATTTTCCAAGTTTCATTTTACAAAGTGAAAGATCTGCAAGATGATTTAAGCACTAAACGTCCACTCCTCGTTTTCCACTTTTTATGAAGGTTTCCAATTTGAAATGAACAATGGAAAAATTACCAGAATAATTGGTTAAGCGGCTCTACACACTACGAAGTAATGCATACCTTTGTTGAACTTTTTTCACAATATGAGAAAGAAATCGCCAGAGCAAGCACAAAAATCTTTGCGAAAGAAAGAGCCATTCTGGTCTGTTTGAAGTCCACTTTCTCACGATAGCTTGGGAGAATGACATCGGTCTTAGCCAAAAACATCATTATGAATGGAACAGTTCCTTTGTTTCAAAAACGCGAAAAATCTCGCAGATGATGTTTGCGTTCCTATTGTTTCATACAAAACACACAAAAAAGGTTTTCGTCGAGGGTGGAGGGTTGCGCAGGGGGGCATAAAAAGAAAATCAAATCTCTTTTTTAGCAATTCTCTGCTTGTGGAAAAAGGCGTTTTGTTGCTGGGTTATCGCCAAAATTTTAATGAGACAGGAAAAATTTTCAAACAGTCTCAACTCTACAAAACGCACGCACAAACCAGATCAACCATTACTCTCCCTCCCCTCCCCTAGCTGTTTTCCTTTCGGTCTCAAGATCAATTATTTGTTCAGTTTGATAAGTTCTCTTAACCTCTCTACCTGGCTGTGGATCGAATAAAAATTAAAGAAAAAAATCATCAATCGATAATGCTTTGATCACAATCTTTGTCATCGAAAAAGATCTGTGCGGTTATCAGTTAAAGTAATTTACTTTCAGATCAGTGAGAGGGTTAACAGTCCTATTTCTCAAGGGAATTTTATTTTTTTAAAGCCCAAGTAAAGAAAAATATTCGGCGGTAATAAGTGATCCAGGTGAGGTGACAGATGAAACTAAAAAATGTTTTTGACGAGAAGGAAGGAATTTTATTCCTTTAAGTTAGGCGTGTACGTTTAAAAGAAAAACATTTTCTCCACAGGGAAAATTGAACAATCTTCAATAAGAAAGTACAGTCTTCCCATTGTTTTGGATTCGCGAAAAATCTCGTATGGCTTGTTTACCTTTCTATTTTCTGAAGAGGTGAACTTACCAAATTTCGAATGGCTCGAGGGAGACTGACCCCATGAAACTTTACTTTTTCACACAAAAACTCGGTTCCCTTAGAAAGCGAGCTTTTTCGACGACCCTTAACCATCTTCCTTACACTCTATTTCGTTATAGTTTGCTCGACAAAGATAAAAAAGAAAAAGCACGTACAACTACAATCTTGAGCGGCTCCCCAGAATTTGAACTTTACAATGTAGGAGGTTTAATCATAGAAGTGACGTTTGAGTTTCAAAAATGATCCAATGTACGATAAACTTAAGCCAAAATGAACGACGACTTTTTTCGTGAATGTTATATTACAGCATTGTAGTAGTTTCTTTGACGAACGGTTTTTTTCCACGATCAATGTAAAGCTTTTCTTAATGTTTTATTTTCCTGAAATATTTCTACTTCAAGATCTGTGAAATGCGTCTGTTAATGAGAAGACAAAGAAACGCTCGCGTGACTCATTTTGCGAAGGATTATGTTAATAATATAAATGTGACTATCTCAATTCAATGAAATGCGAAAGTACAGCTTTTCTTAATGTTTTATATTCCCGAAATATTTCAATTTAAAAAATCTATGATATGTGTTTGTTAATGAAAAAGCAAAGAAAAGTTCGCGTGATCCATTTTGAGTAACCTCAATTCAATTTTGGTAATCTGAATTCAACGAAATGCGACATTTCCTTCATCATCACTGAGTATATTACTTCCTTAAAGAAAAAATTTTGGTGATGAATTTTGTGTCGAGGAGTGAAACCTAACAAGACTGAATCGCGATTCCTTTCATATCAGTTCAACTTACTTATTTTGACCTGCATAGAAATGAAAATTTAAGTACTTCTTCGTTGCCATACCATCTTATCAACATTGAAACTTTTTACCTCAGGTCATTATAGCTTGATCTCGCCCTAACTTATTTCTTTGGTCAATTCTGTCTCTTTTATCCTAAACTAAATAAAACCTGCTAAGCCGCGACTCGTGTTACACAGAACTGCTTACCTGAGGTAACAACTCATACCTTCGCAGAGGTCCACGTTGAGTACGAAAACGACATAATTGAAGCAAGGAAAAATCTTTTTGCCAAATTCTGCCATTCTGACTTCTTTCTTCAGAACTCGACGAAACGAAAAGTGTTACCCCCCAAAACAAATGTCTATGCATAATTAAAGAAAACGAGAAAAATCTCGAAGTTTTGTTTACAGTCTTATTGTTTCTAAAGTACACTGAAACATTTAAGAGGGAGAGAGAGAGAGAGAGAAAGAATGTCATGATGGGGTCAAATTTCGGTCACTGAGTATGGGTTTGAGTAAACTTTGTTGAAATTGGAAATTGGAAAAACGATTATGATAATGTACTTATTAACAAATCCTCTCACCCTACAAATTTCAATTTGTAGGGTGAGAATGTCGTTGCAGAGGTCACAGTTGCAACGAATTGGAATGGAAATTTCCAGGTGATCTTCGTGAGCAGACGAAGATCTTGCGAAATGTTATTAGTAGTAAGGCCTCTTTTATATTCAAACTTACTCAAAGATGATGTCCTTGATTAAGTGAAAGTTTGCCGGATTGGCGACGAAAACAGTCAAACATTTTCTTACTGTTTTAAATCTACTGTATTCCTAATGTAAGCAATTTGGAAGAGGGTAATGAAGCATTGCTCGAGGGGGGAGGGGGGAGGGAATGTTGACATGCGGAATAAAATTTGCGAGTTACATGGAAAATTATTTGAACCCAAAAGACAATATGTCAACATTCAGTCTTAAAATGACATTCAGTGACCTTTTTTTTTTGTATATTTATCCAAGACTTTGCATTACGTTTGAGTTTTGAATAAATCTCAGCTGATCACAAATGCATGTTGAATCAGACAGCGCTTATTTGTTGAGTTGTTTTTCCTTAAACCCGAAAAATTTGAATCTACCTGTATTGGTCTCAAAGGTTTTAAGTTTTGATTTAATTTTTCGTAAGTATACTTTCTGATATTCAAAAAACAATTGGCTTAACTTGTCTTTGTACTCAACACAAACAAACCCACTGTTCGTGTACATAAAGTAGGTAAATTAAGCTCAATACTAAACCTTGCACTGTTCTAGAAACGATTCTTGATTCCCAAGCCGGGGGATAGGTCTATTTTTTTTTCACTGTTTTTAAAGACTGAAACACGTTATTAATTAAAATAAAGAAAGATTGGTCACGTTCAAGAAGACAATGTTTTGGTTTAAAAAAATCCCGGCAAACTGACAGTTTTCATTACATCAATTTTACGCCATTTGTTTTGTTTTGTTTTTTTTTTTAAGTTTATCATACCATGGAATATTTAGAGGCAGGTACCGATTATCAGATGACAAAATATCTTATAAATTTGAAATTAATTAGTTTACCTTGAACATAATAGAAATTCATTTTCGGCAAAGTTCTCTTTGAAGAACGCAATCATCGCTTCCAGCTTTGATGAGCTAATGGGAGGTACAATTAAATAGAATGTGCAACTATTGTGACTGCAACGCTGTACAGGAAGCGGTAAACTCGTCTCAAACTAAGTAGCCGCGCCTGATTTGTTTACCCGCCATTGTTTTCCCTTCGGATTTAAGTTGACTAGTTTTGTGAAAAGATCACTGGAGCAGTGCTTGCTGGTTTTTTTCGGTGTAAACGGTAAGAATTGTCCTAGGCACATATGAAAGAACACTTTTAAGATTATTTCGCCCTACAGTTTGATTTCTGGAGTATTTTTAATAAAAACAAGCTTATGTGCCGTAACTTGATTGTTATCTCGAAAGTTAGAAGAATTTGTCGACGTCTTTCTGCCTGTGAATAAACAGCGTAAAGAACGAGAGGCCAGCCACGACTAGATAGCTTATCTACTGGGAACTTTAAGCTCACTAAAAACTTTTTCGTCGTAATGTGACCCAGCAGTCAGGAAAAAGATCCATCAATCTCTTCGCAAACTAGCTGGAGATGTCAAAGGTGAATACACAAAGACACCAAAGGGCAGAAAAAGAGAAGCCCTGAAAAGTAAGTCAAATAAATTTCATATCTTTGAACGGCAGACAATATCTGTTGTTAAAGGGGAAATTTCCTTCCTAAGGGATGAAATTGAGAACTAGAAAAGGAAACACGACAATTTAGACATGGAAATCAAAACGCTGTTTGAAGAAATGTAAAGACTAGTTACTGAGAAAGACAAAACAGTTGAACAATTACATTCCAAGAATCAAGAACTTATTCAAACACATGCTCCTGAATGGGAGGTACAATTAACCGAGAGAGCAACTTGATAGATCCTCTACCACCATATTTAAACTTAAAATAGTTTATTCTTTCAGGAAATTATTACAATTGTTTCTGTAAAGGAGTTTCTTATCTATTTAATAATAAATACATTTCCCTCAGAGAGCACAGTTAAAAAGGGTCATGGTGCTATTGTAAATGTGTAATGATATGCCATTTTGTTCTTCTCTTCTCTCTTTAAGCTTACTTCAACTGATTTGATTTTCTAATCTATTGGTACAACGTGATCAGGATTACGTCTATCAGCTTGAGAATTTAACTCTGTGAGTCACTTTCCTCTTCCTCCGGCCTTCCCACCTGCTAAAATTTTTTGTCGGATTATGCGTAAATATATCCCCTTTTGGTATTAAATCTACTTAATGAATTGGGTATCCCCATATCCCCCTTCAGTGATGGACATCACTAAAACTACAAACGTAGGTCGCGAAAAGTTATTGCGTGGGGCTTGGGGATGTTAAATTTACGAGCAGCATGACGTTTGGTGGCTAAATATTTTCGTAAGTTAAAATCGACTTTAGTTAGGATAACATTATCCCTCATGATTACATCAGTAATTTTATCAAAGGTTGAGAATATCGAAGGCGTGTATGCTGATATTAACGGGTCAAGTTTATAGTTTTTATCTGTTCTCTTAAAGTGGTGTACGCATTCTTCATATTGTTTTTGCCTAGGCGGGTTGAGACGGGAGACTGAAGCTTTCAAACGCACCAAAATATCGCATTATTTCACCTTAAGAGAAGGGAAAAAAAACTAATTTATTTGAATTCACACAGGTATTTTGTGGTCTATTGCCTAAATACTTCTTCGCAAAAATAAAATGCATCGGTGCGTGATGGAATGCAAGTTGTTTGCCGTGTTAGTTGTGAGTAAAGGAGCGGGGAAAAACACGTTTTAACTTAAAAAATGAGACAATACGGTTAAATGCGAACCTTGCATTTCCCGATAAATCTCGACCTTAATCGACGAGGCTCTTGTTAAGGCCACAAACCATTACACTTACCAAAATTAGCTCAAAATTTATGGTTTATGTCATTCTTTGTGCACAGCCACCTGCTTCCATGACATCATTTACAAGAAAGCTGTGATATGATTGGTGCGAGATACATAGAGAAGAATACATGGGCGCGCGTAGATATGGAATTTCTATTCGAGTGTTTAACTGGCCCCTCTGGATACCAGCCTTGCCTTACTCTTAACGCAGCGAGGTGTGTCTATAATACCCTTATCGAGCCAATCCTGTGTTATACCGACACTACATGGGGTGAACTGTCAGTCACCTTCAGTAAAACCCTTCAACAGTTACAAAATCGTGCTGCCCACATCGATTGGCGTGACTCCTCTAAAGACACTTTAAGTGTTCTAGGGTGGCTGAGGTAGAAATGAAACGGAAAAGACACAAATGTGTTTTAGTTTATAAATGCTTAAGTAAGCTAGTACTTCATTACTGATATAACTATTTTATTAGAAACTACAATGTATATGGCCATAACACTCGCAGAAGAACCGATTTGCACCTGCCCAACCGAAGCTAAGCCTTGGGAAATTTACTTTTAGATATTCGGGCTCAGCCCTTTTTAATTTGTTGCCTCGTTACATTCAGAACGCGGAGTCACTTTCTTTCTTTAGATTTTTGATAAATGTTCACGATTTTTTAAATTTTGTATTTTTAAATTATCACATCCCGTATTTTAAATTATTATTTATTGTTTAATTATTGTACTTTTTAATCCAGGGCCCCTCTGGATACCAGCCTTAAGGCTGATTGGGTCACCCTCGTAAAATAAAGCTTACCCTTTTACCCCTTATGTAACTAAGCCTTTGCGAAATATTATCGTTTTATTTTTTCTTTAGTATTTTACATTACAGTATTTAGTGAGACAGTTCAGTTAAATAAAATTTATAAAATTGCCAAACACAACGGCCAAAAGTATGCATGATTACGCCCTATTTTTTCTTTAGTATTTTACATTACAGTATTCAGTAAGACAGTTCAGTTAAATAAAATTTATAAAATTGCCAAACACAACGGCCAAAAGTGTGCATGATCTCGTCCTAGCTCACTTTCTTGTTCTTTCTTATTAAATATCATGCGATAAAATCTCTTTTTTTCTTCGAAACTAACAAACGGCTCTTAACCAATGGCTCTCCGAAATATGCACCACCCTACATCCAGGAACGCAAAGAACAACAACCTCATCCTTGTTTACGACAGGACTCACTCAGCTAGCGCAAATTTCCCGGGAATAAATTAAAACAAACATTTCAAATCTAAAACACTCGGAGTCTCATACTGCCTTAGGTATTAGGCCTGTCAATCACGGCGACTCCCGCATAACTGCGGCCTATCGTCATGAAGGTTGACAGTAAGCCCCACTGGTCTGTCCGGGGGTTGTAAACTTCAACAGAAAACAGATTACTGGAGCCGTCGTCGCCTCCGACAACAAAAAGCAAGCCATTAACCGAGGCCACACCAGCGTTCCTACGACACATGCTCATGTCGCTTACCGATCGCCATTGGTTCTGCTCCGGATTAAAACATTCCACGCTTTTCCGCACGTGCGGCCCGTCGTGTCCGCCTATGGCGTACAAGAGCCCATCGGCCACACCCACTCCCGCTCCACTCCTCCGCGTGCTCATTTCGGCCATTAGACCCCATTCGTTTGAGTTTGGATTGTAACACTCAACTGAGCTCAAGCAATGTCTCGACGCGCCGTCGTACCCGCCGACGGCGTAAAGCAGACCGTTGAGGACGCCTACGCCGACGCTGCTTCTTCGGGTGCTCATCGGACAAATAGATCGCCATTCGTTTATCTTGGGGTCATACACTTCGCAAGTGTTGAGTCCCGTTGTACCGTCAAATCCTCCTATGGCGTACAACAGTCCATTCATTACTGCCGCACCAAGTGTGCTGCGCCGCGCCTCCATGGAAGCCACAGGACGCCATTGGTCTTTCCCAGGATCGTAGCAGTCGACTGTGCGAACGCGCAGTGAACCGTTGAAGCCGCCAACTGCATAAACGAGCCCGTCTAGCACGGCTACTCCAGCACGGCACCGACGAGAGTTCATCTCTGCCACAGCGTACCAGTTCTCTCCTTTGAAATCGTAACATTCCACACTGACAGTAAAACAAAACAAGTATTGTCAACTCGAGCCGCTTTATTTTTCCATGTTACGGAACTATTATGTTCGACAAAATTGAATAAAAAAAAGGAACCGACAGCTTACGGGGAAGCGAGGATAAATTCACTTCACATGTCAAGACTAAGCCTTAAACATGCTTAATTCAATAAAAAGTGCTTTGTTTGTATGCTTATAATTATGTTTGTTAAGATGAAAATGGAAAAAAAAGCGTTAAATAACTAGAGCTCCACTTGCATAACAGTAAATAATACTCCTTGTACACATGTGAAAAAATAAGAAATTCTCGATATACTAAATCGGCATAAAACGGACTCCTGCTCACTTTCTTACCTTCGTATAGCCTTGGGCGCCTGGCCTCCGACGACGTACATCACTTTAGGCAATCCAATCGGTGTCCTGGGACGAGTTCTCGGTGACTGTACAGATGACCGCTGTTCATTACTGAGCAGGTGATATTTCATAGCTTCGATAAGAAAATCTTTGCACATGTTATTGTTTTTGACCAGTGTTTCCGTCTCCACGCGACTCACGAGGTATTCACGTGACAGCAGAGGGAGTCGCACGTGCTCCATGAGTTGTGCCAGGCACTCCTGTCTATGTTCAGGGTCGTAATTCACCCAAGTAACCACAGCTTCGAATACCTACAGTACAACACAAACACATACGTTTAAGCCATCATGCTCTGAAACAACTGAAAGGACCAAAGGGATACATAATTTTCCACTTTCTCCATAAGACTGATAAGTTCGTGTGAAGTTTATCTTTTTTTTTTCGTTTATTTTGGTTTTGTTTTTTGTTTTGTTTCTTATGCAATGACAAGCTATATTAATAATAATAACAATGAACTTTATTTTATTCAAGTATCAATACACTACAGCTAAATGAGCTATTGGGGGACATGTATATGTATATAAAACATGTATGTTAAAAAAAAACAATTTGTGATGATTATTCAAGGTATCAATTTTGACTACAAGAAATACTTAACTAAACTTAAATGCTTAACCCCTTTACGACCTAACATCAGTTTTCAAGGTCTCCATATTGTTCTCAATACATTTCCTGTGGTGCATGTACTGCACTCTGGACACTTTTAGCCTTACATAGCATCATTATGTATATTCTCCATACTGTTCACCATACAAGGTGCTGACAAGGGGGATTTGTCAAACTACTTCTTCAGTTGAACTTCTTTCCTTTATTCTTGTGACCTAAATGTGTGATCCAGGGGTAATATTGTGAGGAGAAATTAGATGCATGTCACTCTTTGGGGTCAAAGGGTAAAGGGGTCTCTTCTCACCCAGGAGTACAAATGGGTGTCTTCACACAGTCAGGGAGACTTCAAATACTGTTTGTAAAGGGGGAGAGGAGGGGAGCAGAGGGGAGGAGAGGGACCATGGAATGAAATAGTCTCCTATTCAAAAGGATTAGTAATTCTCCTTGTCACCTTCTGCAGAAACCAGGGAGTTAAGGGATTCATTTGCATGTGTGTATGACCTTTACCCTTTAACTCCAAAGAGGGAATAGTATCTTATTCATTTTTATCTAATCACCTCTGAATCAAACATTAAGATCATAAGGATAAAGGAAATGATCACCAACTAAAGAAGCTCTTGATTGTTAAACAAATTTCCCTCGTTCATACAATGTACCACAAGATATGCACAGAGAACAGTTTAAGGAGAACATGCATACTGTTGTTATGGTGTCAATGGTTGAGGAATTAAATTAAAGTTTTTTGGGGGGTATGATACCTTCTCCTCGGAGGGAACTGTAAGCTGGTCACTGCAGACAAGTTCTTCTACTTGAATGGTTGGCAGGGCAAGAAATTCATCAGCCTGAACAACCTCACTAAAATGTTTCTCTGCAAATGAGTGGGCAGCAATCATTAAATCACTGCAGGAATGCATGTCAGCAAAAGCTCTGATTCCTAAACAGTTTGTGGAGTGGAGTTGGGCCTTCAGAAATTCACAGCATGCATCACGGACATCTGTTAGTTGAAGAAGATTAGCGGCAGGAAGCAAAACCTAAAAAAAACATGAAAAAAAAAATTACAAAACTTGTACACACAATTTTTAAGTGCATTTTCTACACAATGTTTCCAAAAAAGATTATGATACAGGATGCCTGTCCTCTTTGTAAACACCACTTTAGGAAGAGGTGTTCTATGTCACCAACATACAACAATGTATCCCTTTGCTAAGGTGAGCAAGGAATGTTGATGAGGTTTACCTATGTCAGAAACACAAAAAAATGGACATTTATTATTCATATAATGCAAAAAAATATATATTCCTGGAGAATTAAAATAGAAGTCCCTACAAAATTTTAGATGAAAGTACTGCATATTGTCCAATGATAGATTTATTTTACATGACAACAAAAAGCAAAATGTTGTTCATGGTGAAATCATCTGTCTCTGTCAGCCAATAGATTTATTTTACATGACAATGAAAAGCAAAATGTTGTTCAAGGTGACATCATCTGTGTCTCTGTCAGCTGATAGATTTATTTCACATGAATTGAAAAGCAAAATGTTGTTCATGGTGACATCATCTGTGCCTCTGTCAGCTGATAGATTTATTTTACATGACAATGAAAAGCAAAATGTTGTTCAAGGTGACATCATCTTTGCATCTGTCCTTCCATAGATTTATTTTACTAAACAAAAAGAGAAAAATGTTTTTCACGGTAACATCATCTTTGTGTCTGTCCTCAGTTCAATAGATTTATTGTACATGATAAAAAGAGCAAAATATTGTTCTGTGCTCCAACAGATCATAAGTAGTTAAACAATTAAAATTCAAGTGTGATGCAGCTTATTACACAATTGAAGACACATCTATGAGTAAAGGAGTAAGTCCCTAATAAAAGAAACCATGGTGCTGCATTGTTGGGAGAGTATAACAGGGTAAGTATAATTGGCCAAAGAGTTTCAGAGCTGACATTTCGAGCATTTCCCCTTTGTCAGAGCAAAGGTACATGTACCTACTGTGAGTACCTATGAGTCACAGCTTACACAGTGGTTAAAAAAAGCATTAAAGCCATTGAATTCATTACCTGAACATTATCCTCTGTGACTTCGATCTCAGCTGTGTACACATATTGCACTAAAAGTTCAAGTGCACGGCTATCAATTTCACGCATGGTTACCACAGTTTGTCGACTTTCTGACAGCTCCCCAGTGAACATTGCAAAAAAATAAGGACTAGATGATGCGAGGACAACCCTGTGTGCTGGAATCTCACTTCCTGCTGCTTTCAACAAAACATCACACAGCTGGTTTTGTTCACGCAGGGTGTTCATTACTTGGAAAGATTTGTTGTGACATTCTGGACTCCTGTAGGGAGGAATCACTATTTTCTCCTCTGGTTGGGGACTTTGTTCTGTTTCTGGGAGAAAAAAACAAATTTTAGTGAATATTATCAACCCTTACACCCTCAAATTGTAATAGTTAATTCTGCTCTCAAGCTGCTACAAATTTCATCATAAATTAGTAACGAGAATTGGTGTTAGATCAAGATAGCACCTTCTACCTGATAAGTTTTAGTATTCTCATTACCTGTTTGCTAAACAATGTATGGATGTTATAAGGAGAAGTTGCATGTCAATAATATCTGGGTGTTGAAGGGTTATATGCATGCATTCAGTAGTAGGAATCAAGGTGGCAGAGAAATTTGTGCCCTAGACTCTAAACTGAGGGATCTGAAAATTGACCCTTGTCATGTCATTGCATTGTGTTACTAAGCCAAAAAGACATTCTCAGGGTACCTTTTTTCTTCACCAGGATTTTCATTATAAAAATAAAGAATAAAGTAAAGCAACTGCATAATATTCTCTACTGCTAATACTTTTCTCAACCCTTTTACTCCCAAGATCTTATTATCAATTCTCCTTATTGTCTGCTACATAATTGTGGTGGTGTTCCTTTGGAGAATTTAGTATTGGATCAATTAAAAATCCCCTATTAACAGTTTATTCTTGTCAACTTGATGTTGTGTTGGCATTACGCTGATAAATTCTGTTTCACTCAATCAGGGAAGTAAAAGGGTTAAAGAAAACCTGGTACATGGCTTTGTAAAGGACTGTTCTGGCTTTTTTGAATAATGGATAGGACTAGTTAGTACATACAGGAGTAAACTGATTATTCCTCAAACAGCTGAATCCACTAAACCTGCGTTATTTACTGAGAGGGGATCATTGAGCTTGGCCGAGGGCTGAACTCAAGACCAAGGGCACAGTTTTTTCCCATACAGACAAACGGCTAGACCAGTCAATACCTTCTTTTTCCTACTGTTTGCTTTTTCTCTGCTTTGTCACAAACAGCAGCGAACATTTTCAGGAGTATTGTGTATATTGTGTATATTGTTAAAAGCTGGACTACGTTTCCTCCTCGACCATGTTAACACCACCGATTATAAGTAAACGGGGTAAAAAAATAAACGTACTCTACGTAGAATTTTAAGCTAAATCTCAGAGGAAATCAACGCACGAAAAATATCACTGGCATTTAAATTTCCATTTTTTGTATTGAAATTTCAAAAACATGGAACATTCCTTGCTTCAGTGATCACAAACACAGATATGAAATCTGCCCAATTAAAGCTTCTATATTTGCCCATTGGCGCCGATCGATTAAATGACATAATTTCGTTTACACGATTGAACGAAAACATATTCGGTAAAGAGTAAGCAAATTCATACATTTTACGGAAAGTCGACCACACAATTCTCGAAACAGTTCAAAAGGTTTGAGAAGGAAATGAAAAAGATCACCGCTTTGCTTTACTGTCATATCATTAACAACTAATGTCCAGTGGTAAAAACACTGGCCGCATTTGCGAGTTTCTTCGGTGTTACTAAGAAGATGTTTAGCAAGTGACACTATGATTGTTGATACTCACCAAAGTTAGTTTCCTTCGACATGACAGAAGTATAAATTACTCAAACTGTGCTTTCCTTGATGAATGTAAGCTTTGAAAGCCACTAAATCGTAAAAAAAAATTGCCAGAAGATCGAAGCGAGATAAACTTGGTAGCAGTGAATTGTGTACAGATGTTTGAATTCGATCGAGAGAAAAGTTAACAAAAGATTGATTTCTCCATGACATCAAATCTGTGCTTTTTCCCAGCTTTCTGTGATTTGTTCTGAAGATCACACAAGATTACACCGTATTCCAAAATACAAGATGTTCCAAAACAAATATTTGAACTTGAGTTTCCACTGCAGTTACTTGAAGACACTTTCTTAACGGCTCGGTTACTCAGCATCCACTGGTAGTATTTGTCAGGGGAGGGGAGAGGAACGCGGTCCATCGCGGGTTTATAAGAGAAGGCTCATTTTGCCGGATTTTTCTATATTATCATTTTTTCTCGTTGTATTTTTATATTTTTTTAAGGTGATTCCTCAGAAAAAAAAAAGCTACCGAAATTTTTTTAAAAACTTTTCCTAAATGACCCCTACCAATGTCTGTTTCGAAAAAATACAATTTAAAAGGTAGGTCACCGTGCTTGTTTAAGAAATATGATGAGCAAAACTTACCCTACTCATGCCTGTTCTGGCACTAATCAAAACTATAACAAAATTCTCGAACGTGATTGGTTATCACCAGCCCGATTTGAGCACTAATAGGACAGTGTACGCGTCATGCTTGTAAAGTTGTAAAGTCATGCTTGATAGGCCAGTTAAAGGGACAGTTAACACGTCATGCTTATCTAAGTGGACAGATCGCATCATGTGCGCACGCTATTGCCTCGCATTTCGCTGAGTTAACTAATGGATTTTTCCATGAAAACGTATAACCGATGTCTAGTTTCTTTCTCAAATTTTGTCATTGTTTTGCTTAATTGGACTGATTGATTAACAGGACTTCGTGTCGTCCAATTCGGTCTGTAATCATACGAGTGATTAACAAAATCGGACGACCACGAAGCGGGAGTCCGATTTGTCAATCACGAAAAAAAAACCTTAATAGGTAGAAAGTCACGAGCGTATGGAACAATATATAATTTGTAAAAAAATTACGCAATTTTAAACGAAATCGACTCAAAACGTTCCCCCTGAGTTTTAATTTCGAGGTTATAATTTACATCATCGAGTGACGGGCTTTGAGCACGGTTTTAGCCATATCTTTTTTTCCCATCGAATTTTTTTTTAGTCCTCTTATTTAAATGGAACAATTTGTACAACAAAATTATGCAACAAAAAAATATAGGTCGTTTTTCCTGCGGAAAATGGACACAGGGTGCGGTTAAGTCTAAAATGTTTTGCGAACTCTTACAAATGAAATGAATTGAACGTAAATTGCGAGCATGGGAACTTCAAAGGGGGCTAGCATAGTTTAGTTTCTAGTACAATTGAGACCTTTTCACTCAGATTACCACCCTCCTCTCTGCCTGCAGAGGTCTTAGGGTTGAGAAGAGGAGTGTGCAAGGAGGGGGGAGGGGGGAGGACTCTGGGGGAAGTGGGTGGGGAGAAAACAATTCCTTTTGCACCATTTTGTCTTAAAGCAGTTCCACTCCCATTCCATTGAGAGGGATTCATAGTGATATTAGCTCAAACCTTATTTTGCTCATTAATCCAATTTTATCACTTCAGCCCCTACTATAAGCTAACTGTAATAAATTCAGTGGTCAGATTCCAATTTTGTAACAAAAGAAACTGTCAGTCCTTCACTTCATGAAAACATTAACTGGGATCTAATTTTCCCCACAGGATCACTTCTTCTGAATCAAACATTAAGGTCTTTAGGATTAGAAGAATTAATGCAAACTAAAGAAGCTTGTGATTGTACATAAATTTTCCTTGTGAGTACCATAGGAAGTGTATAAGGAGCAGTATGGAAACTGTAGTCATTGACATGAGGGGGTAATGGGATTAAGGTAGTTTAGATCTTTCTCCCCAAACCAGGTAAGCAAGGGTAAAGAAGGAAAAGACTTAGAGATACATATGCTATGGATCTTATATTTCTATTTACTAGTAACATGAAGATATGGCCCAAACTACTTCAATTCTTCTTCTTTGACACTGAACTTAAAACAAAACTGACACAACTAGCAAAAATCATGTTTTTAAATTACATTGACAGGTAAGCAAGGGTAAAAAAGGAAAATACTTAGAGATACATATGAGATACACAAAATATAATCAAAACACACCATGTGCAGAATGACAATTTTCCATAACTTGAGGAGCATTATCCTTTTCTAGTAACAAAGACCATTAATAGCAACAGCCAGCCTTTATCTTCATCATCAGCCTAAAATTGGTAAATGTAATTTTATACAACCCAAGAAACTTTCTGCCTTTAACCACTTGTATTTCCATCCACTGCTCCACTCTGATATCTTCCTCAAAAATGGTAATGCAAGATAATCTAAGGCTGTGGCAGATCTAGGGGAGGGGCCATGGGGTCCTAGGGCCCCCCCCCCCCTTATTTTGAATAAAAAAAATCACAGAAGAAAGAAAAGTTGGCAGGGTAAGGGACAAAAAACCCAGGCACCCCTCTTGACTCAAGCTCAAGGTAAGGTAAGTCTGAGATAAAAAAATTAAATATCAGGATGTTAGCAAGGCTATTTTGGTCTGCTAGCAAGCATTTCTCTAATATTATCTTCATGTTCTTTGACACTTCTTTGAAGATATTCTTTATTAGCCTGTAGAGAAATAGGGAAAAACTACAGGTTAGTATACAGATACAGTATGGAATACATTTTATTGATCAGTCCCATTAGGGTTTTTCAGAATCAATTTACTAGGCAAGAATAGTAGAAAATATAAAAAATATATATAAAAATATATTAACATCAGTGATAGTGTTTTGCAATTTTGCAAACAAGCAGATGCATTGTTGACTATATAAACACTAAGTGCAACTAATTTCAACTTCAGCTTTCTTCTTGAAACATGGAATAGATGGTGAGTCTCTTGTCTGACCAGTTAGACTATTCCATGATTCTACTGCTCTGTAGAAGAATGAATGCTGAGCAGTCACTGCGTGACATTTGGGAAGGCTAACTTGATCTCTATTTCTAGTGTAGTACTCGTGCATTTCTGAGTGCGCTGTGAGCTTTGAACTTAAATAGCTGGGTGTCAGACCCATCAGAAATTTGTAAATCACAGCAGTGTCATGCAAGTGCAACTGTTCTTGTACAGAGTAAGAACCACAAGAGAATTTTCATTATTAAGTACAGGGTGTAAAGGCCAAGATCCAAATAGATAATATTGCAAATTTAACAACTTGCTGAAGCCAACTGGGAATACATGCCTCCTCCCTGCCTCAAGTTTCTTCATGTTTATTAAATGCTATCCCTTAACCCCTCAACCCATAAGAGTAACTAGCATCTAATATCTCCATACAAAACCACTCCTGAATCACAAATGAAGGTCGCGAGAATTGAGGAGATAATCACAGAGTAACCTAAGAAGCTTTTGATTATCAAACAAATTCTCCTGGTCAGCACCTTTGGAAATGTATGGAGAACAGTGCGGAGAAAATCATTATTGAAGATAGAGTGTCAAGAGTTAATAAATATTATTTCTAGCAGTGTTTTTTTGTCCACAGTTCCCACATTGAACTGAGATTTTGTGGAGAATATAATTAAAGAACATAGAACAAGGAGAACTGACAAAAGATTCGACCCACATGTGATACTTAGTTAGTAATAAACTTTTAACTGACAAGTCCACCATATTAAATTCTGTTCTTTACTATAAAAATATTTTACATTTTTGCACTAAACATGTGCAACTTCACCCTTTCACTCCAGAGATCTACATATAAATTCTTTCTACTGTACCCCATATGTTTCTTTTGATTTTAATTCTAATGTTAAATCAATTAAAGTCTCCTTTTTGATTTCCTTATTACCTTCCTGCTCAACAAATGTATGCATATTGTAATGAGAAATTCCTTGTTGGTCGCTCCTGGGAGTGAAAGGAGTTCATATTGAGAAGACACTAAAAAGTATGCCAGCGAAGATGTACTGTACCTCAATGCTTTTGATCTTCTCTTCATTGCTTTGGAGTTTCTGAGCAAGGTCCTTTCTGATATCTGATACGGGCTGGAGAACAAACCTGTCAAAAGTTGTCAATAAATTAAATTTGGAAACCCATGAGGCTACCAGAGAGAAAGGAGATTCACAGTGACATCTGAAAGTGATGAGGCATTCATACCCTTTCTGATGGGGGTGACAAAACGACGGCCAAATACAGCACCCAATCTCTGTTTATAACAGAGGAAGATGTTAAGAGCCCCTAAGAAACTAAACATTGAGTTTGACAACTTATTGGTCATTGTATTCAGAACCACCTATTATGATGCTCAAAATGCTGTTTAAGTGTTGAAATTATGCTAAAATGGAAAGAATTCCCTGTCTTCACAATTTCCATATACATGCGCATGAAGATGGAGACAGCAGCTTTTTTTAACACTGCTACGTGCAGTGAGAAGTAATACAAATACAGTAAATCTTTTTGATTTTGTTTAAAATCCTAACATCATGAAAACAGCCACGATAAAACTTACATTCTTCCTACTGCTTCATAAGTGGGTGTATGAGAGGGTAATGAAGCTAATTCTTGGTCCGTTAATTTGGAATGAGCAATGTTCCTTCGAAGTTGCAAAATTTGACCTTCTGCCACCTTGACACGTTGCGTGGTCTCAATCATTTTTTCTTGGAGTTCTTGGAAGGCCTACAGATCAATTGAAATACCGTTAATAGGGAATGAATGCTCAATATGAAGTTTTCTCTTATGAGAGAAGAAACCGAGAGACTTAAGGAATAATAACATTTGCCCCCACCATAAACGATAATTTTAAGGATTTGTGGAACTTTTGAATCCACCTATTTTCCTAAAATGTTACTTATAAGGTTATGGTCAAAAATGAGAATATAGATGCATTTACCTTTCGTAGTTCTTGATCAAATGTAGTCGCCATCTTGGAAATAAACGTAACCGCGCAGAGCCTGAAGACTAAATCTGTGTGTGTGCGCTGAACTAAGGTACCGCCGAATTGGCTCAAAATCCAATATGGCAGGTTTACTCAAATCTCCTCGACGAAGGTAGAGGGTTGCATAATTTTATTTGAAGGATTATTAAAGGCTTTCGAGATGTTTAGGGTCGAAAAGCTGCTTAAATATGTAACCAGAGCGACAAATTGTTTGAATCGTCGGCAAATTCGCGGCAAAACTCAAGATGTATTCGCATGGAAGATGGACGCCTGCTCGAAAGATACCCCTTTCATTGTTGTACAGAGCCCGTACACTGTAAAAATACAGCCAGTGAATCCTATGGAATATATAGAGAACGTAGATACTGATGGTCAGTCTGTGAAAGGAAATGTTTACTTAGAAACAGACGATGAGGGCGATCTTGCACCAGATTTAAAGAATTCATTTATGAAGGATATTAATTTCAACGTGACACCCGTCAGCTCCAATTCCAAGGACTATTTGGAGGTAAAAAAGGTTAAGAAAAGTGTTTTAAAAGAGGAAGAATGCAATGCGAATAAATGTTCCCATTTCATGCGAGGCATTTGTAATGTAGCACACTTGGTTGCACTATTCAACATTAGGCTATTTACTTGCAGGTAGCTTTTCCAATCCTATCCCATCAAACGCGCGCCTGTGCAACACGTCCTACTTAGGTTGAAACAAAATTCTCAATATGTAGAGTTCATATAATGAAGTGATTATTGACTGAGTTTTCTCAGGCCAAACAGCAAACTAAGTGGCCCTCTTTTATGACATCAAGCCAGATATTTTCTTGTCCAGCCCTCCCATTCGGTCAATAAGTACTTGTACGAACTGTTTCTTGATATTTTTCCAAATTGGGATATCAAATGGACCCAATGATTAAATTTCATGATTTCCTTTTGAAGGTAACATGCTCAGAACAACAACAATACCAGTACCCTACAAAGAACATCACCCTGCACTTTCAAGTTCCTGCTGCATGTGGTGTTGATATTAATGTGAGGGGTGATGCCAGCATTGATATCAAAGACTTAGAAGGTGGACCCTTTGAAATGGTGACTAACCAAGGTGCATGCTTCTTGAAGAATCTGAAGGGATCAAGTTTGAGAGCTTCATCAAACTATGGTGACATCATATGTCAGTCTCAGTTGCTGTTTGAACATGGATTTTTAGAAACTAAGAAGAAAGGGAAGATATCTGTGAAAAAGTTACAAGGGAAGGAATTTAATTTAAAAACAGAGCATGGAGATGTTGATGTTGGAGCTACCTATCTCCTAAAGGCCAAATTTGCATCTAAAAGTGGTTGTATTAAATTAGGAGATGTGCATGGTGAGTTCAGTCTTACAATGTAGAGCCCTTGTGATGGGATGAGGTTTGAAGAAGGGAAGGAATGAACACAAATATGTTGAGGAACACTGGTTCCAAATTAATAGGGGTTACTGCACTAGTTTCTGAGTTGTAGGCTGTAATGTTGCAATGATCACCTCAGTTCATTTGGCAACATGGTGATAAATGTGTTTTTAATATCACTCTCAGGGAAACAGATTAAAATGTGTGGCAGCATTGATTAATCAAAGAATTGGTGTATTTTGAGCCACCTTAAATCAAAGCATCCCTGTAGGAGAGAGGTGAATCCTCATGCACAGACATTCTGTGTCTTGTCAAATGTGCCCTCAGGTTTTTTCCAATCAGATCCTTCCTTGCAGGTTTTACTGAGATTCGTGCTGAGGATGGAAACATATCAATTGGTTCAACTTCTGGTCAATTGGAAGCTTTTACAGGAAGAGGCAGCATAGATGTAAACTTATCTCAACATGAGGATGTAGTGCTAAACACAAATGAAGGTAAAGCATGTTGAAGCTGAATCATTGTGTATTTTTGAGTGCCAGTTGTACTAAACAAATAAGTTGATCATTCTGAATGAACATAGTATTTTACATGGAGGTAGACCCTCCAAATTATGTTGTTGAAAATTATTTTTAATGCTCATACCAGTCTTACAAACTTTGTTGTTCTACACATTCTTATGTGATTATCAAGCAACTATCCCCATCACAAAACCCTTACTGAGTATAGAGTGGGATGAGCTATGAATGTAGAGAGACATGGTGTATTAAATGTCAAATTTAAAAATCTTAAATTAACTTTTCATTCATTGAGTACCCAACCAAATTTGGCCAAAAAAAAAATCTAAAAAGTCTTGGCATTAAATATGATTGTCTGGTTTTAGTACTAGTTGTACACTCACAATTAATCAAAGAGTTCTTAAGCTGAAGATACAATCAGGATCAAAATTACTTTGCAAATTGTGTTTGAACAGTTAATTGTAGGAGTTGAAGAACACTACTTTTTGCACCGCACTATGAATCATTGATAAAACCCCCTCTCCTCCATTCAATGTTGCTTGTTAGTAGCTAAAAGATCAAGTGAATCACTGTGTGACAATGTTTTGGGGGGACAGGGGGAGAATCAGTTATTTAAAGAATGACAAAAGAGATACAAATGAAGTAACAAGGAGTTGAAAAGGTTAGTGTCAACAATTTTGTCCCAAATGTAGATTTTTGCTCTTAAATTCAGGTGACATTACCGTCAAGTGTTTGCAGGAATCGTTTTCTTCAGAGTTCTTGGTGAGGTCAAAACATATTCACGTCGATTCAAACATTGACGTTGTCATTGACAAAGAACGTGCAGAAGGGAACTTTACCGTCATGACGGGAGAACTTAACAAAAAAGACAAGAAGGAGGAAGGGGTAAAAACGATCAAAGCGGAAGCAAAACTTGGAACTGTGAAGTTTGAGAAGGAAGACTGGTTTAGTTCTCTCAAATTGAGTTAATATCATTGTGGAATGAACTGGGAATTTACAGCAGTAAATTAATTGGTACAATAAGTAATGTTCTGACTTTTTTTTTATCCCTGGAATGGTTACAAACCGAATTGGACTCCACTCGGTGTCATTACCAATTAATCATAAAATTTACAATTTCCGAGGAAAGAAGATTAGTCAAGTCATGAAAAAAAGAGAAAATTTGTATCAAAAGACTGACAAAGGAGGCGTAAATGTTTCTGTTCCCATGATGATTAAAACCCAGGAGTTTTTAAACCAATCGCTATCGAGAAAATTGTAATTTTAATGGTTATGATATTTTTGTTGGAGCTGATGGTGCACGTTTCATTTGTTTAAAAACTGTTCGTCTACGAACAGCCTTATTGACACGAAATAAATCAATGAGCGTGCAAACTTTTTGGCTGGGCTGAGATAATCTAATGCGACAATCTGATTGTTGCGAGATACATACCCTTATGCGGTAATCTGATTGGTGCGATATACATGACCCAAATGTGGTGATCTGATTGGTGCGAGCAACATACTACTCTACACGCTAACCTGGAGTTATATTTTTTCATTAAAAAAAAAAAAAAAAGAACAACTAAAAAATTGATGGTGACTTCCCTGAGAAAGTTTTCTGCCGTTCCTAGGAGGAGAGTTCATTAATTTAAATTGAATGTGACGTAAAATTTTCGCATTGGTCGGAAAAAGAAAATTCCATGAGAGTTGTTCCCCCTCCCCCTTCCCCGCTCCTTCTTCGGCGGGAACATTTAAACAAATCACTTTTGGGGGCACAGTCTTCTCCGCTCTGTGCAAATCTTGAGGGTGGGTGCGCGTTTGGCTGAGTCATCCGCGGCGTAAGAATAGCGCACCTAGTGAGGATGATCGGACGTACTTGATTTCCTAACCAGATTTTCCTGGCTATGGCATTCGCGCGGTGCGAGCTCCGATTATAATGTGATCTTGTGGAAGGTTGGAAAAAATAAGTGAGCCTCGCCTTTACAATTTTACGCTACGCGTTTGAAATCAATTTTCAGTCATTTCGGTGGGTGTTCTTTTTAATCGTTGAGGGTTGACTGGATATTAGGTATTAGATCATATTTTGAAACTTTCAAGTCACACCATAGGAAAAAACTCATCGTTATGAACAGAAAAAAATGATAACCGTTGTCCAAAAATATACACTTTTTGGTGGTACAGACAGAGAAACTTCAATCCTCGTTTATTATTTTCAGCCCGAAAACTTTGAAACGGAAAGGTGTGTGTTAGTGAAAAAATTTCTTGAGTAAATAAACAAAGTAGATCATGCTTTCTGTTACTAAAGGTTCATCTTTATCTCAGTACCACACCATACTCTACATGTTTTACAAGACGGCAGGACCTCGAAGTTAAGTACCCTTAAGTCCCGTTTGTTGAAACGGGGTATTTCAATATCCTTGTAAGATAATGAATTAATTTTACCTGCTATCATGAACTAATAAAAAAAATTCAAAACGGTTAATTGGTTGTCGATATCCCTCAGTACTACACTATAACATCTTTCTACTTATGCCAATAAAATAAACGAATAGCCCCATATTCATACCTATTATGAGATGTTACAAACTCATCTGAGAAAACGATTCTTCTAAGAGGTTCTCAAAGTGTAAAAACAAAAAAAAAACATGTAAAAACGTTGAAAATTAGACGAGCTATCTTTAAACTAAGGGAGAAGCTGAAATTGCTGCGATGAGATGAAGGAGCGTTCTCCTTCCTCATAGAATTTAACTGACGAATTCCTTTCAAATGGGAATTATTCCTTACAAGGAAAACTGCAAAACTATCCTCGTCCAACACGAATTAAAAATATACGAAGGCGGAATGGAAGACTGGTACCAATATGATATGTTGTAATGCAAATGTGAGTGTGATTCCATCGTCGATTAAAGCCAAGCTCAATGTGCCGCCGTTACATTTTGGGTATGCACAAGACGAGCAAAGATTCCATCCTCATTTTGTAGTAGCACTTCAGGTCTGTCAAACTCCAAGACTCGTCCCTCATCCATAACCACCATTTTATCATAATCTATGATGGTGTTCAAGCGATGGGCGATGGTTATTACTGTGGAGTCTTTAAATCTGTTGCGAATAACGTCTTGAATCAGTCTG